GTGCAGTGAGATGAACAGGAAAAAAGCTGCTGGGGACTGATATTCCCCCCTCTGCCTAAGCTCTGGGAGCTCTGGTAGCTTAGTGCCTAAGGCACTTGACTGCTAACCAGAAGGCTGGAGGTTCAAACCCACCAGCCACTCCTCGGAAGGAAGATGGGGCAATCTATTTCCATAGTGATACTGTCTCGGAAACCCAAAAAGGGGTCGCTATGAGTTGGGTCCAACTCGACGGCATATAACAACAACAACAATCAATTGTCAAGCATCCCTGGCATTTTTTCTATTTAGATAAACGATGTAAGCCCAAATAGATTGTGAAGATTCAGTAGGAATCAAGACAAAAAAAAAAAAAATGTAGAGATGAAGAACATAAAAGACAGTTTTTGGGGTGCTTTTTTGGTGGAGGGGTTCTTGCGTGGCATGGAATAATCTATTTATAAGGATTTAGGGAGGATTCAGCCAACAGCTGAGAGGTACCAGGCCTTTTCTCTAAAAGGATTACTAATGCCTATTTATAGAAACCAGCAGGCCACCATGTCCCGGATCAGGATACGCACACACGCAGTCACAAAAACAGAATTGGCAGCAACACTCCACAGAACAGTTTGTGTAATATTTTATTTGACACAGCAGTAAGCTTTAAAGGGAAAATTAATTAGGACCTTAGAATTGTTCATGAGAACACACTCAATATTTAGCACTAGGTAGAATTGTTCATGAGAACACACTCAATATTTAGCATTAGGTTTTATTTTAAGGCAAAGGATTATCACAGGTTTTATATTAATAAATGGACTGTATTTAAATGTGAAGGGGTAAGCCAATACATAACATCACCTTAAATACTATAAAGTCCACTCTATGGGGAATCATTTTCTACAGTACAAAACTAATACAGAAAACACATTTGGAAAGATCACAGTGTTTAGAACATTGCAACAGCAGTTTTATACACAGGTGCATCTCTAAGCTTCTGTCTGTCTTGCTTCTGAAGAGATTTCATTATACCATACAGCAGACCCCTATGTGAAGGGGAAACATTGATTGACTCTAGTACTTCTCCCTGCAGGGCCGATCAATAGCCAAAGTTAAATTCTAAAGAGCATTTGCAAGTTTATCCTTAGTCTGCACACTAGCTAATGTGCCCCAGTGAACATGCCTTTATGTATTATCATTTGTCATTTTCTCCTTGAGACTATGTATGTTAGAGCTTATGCTCACTAAGTTCCCTGTCAAACACCTAAATGGATTATGCCTAAAGATTAATTTAATATCCTGTATTGCATTATACTTTCTTCCTAGGACTGGACTATCCATTATTATTTTTAATATTATATACATAATACTAGACTTATAGAAAGTGATGATTATTATTTTGGGTATAATAATATGTCACATACCAGAATACTGGAGAATCAGGATTTATTACAAAATACAGTACTACAACATTTTGTGATATAGTAAAATATCTGACGGAATGTTCTGCTCTAAATTTAGACCTGACTGCTACAGATATGTCTTTGAGAGTGCCTCAAAGTACCCCTAAAGAAAGATACTATTTCACAAAAGGGCAAAGAAGTTGTTTTGGCAAATAGGCATTTTTTTTAAAGCATCTAATTTTATGTGCAAGTCTTTCAAAATTTTAGTGATACACAAGAAATAACTGCCATTAGTTTTAATGCTAATCGACATTAGTAGGATTTTAAGATGATGATATCTAATGCCTATTATTTGGTGTATTGTTTACTTTTTATAGTTTTATGTTTTAAAATCTGCATTTGTGCTGAGGCAAATGTATTGCAAAGAGTACAATTTTATTAATAATACTAATTTATTGAGCAATTTCTCACAATTCAGTAGTACTTTAAATAAGAGTACTTATTCATTCCTGGGTACAATTAGGAATAAGTACATATATTATATTGGCAGATTATTTGTTTTTACACACAGCCCCAAAATAATTTAAGTGTTGCACTACTTTGTTGCTTGTGAAGTGTATCATTAAGAAGGTGGGCTTTTCTCCCCCCCCCATGATACAGTCATATTTCCATAAGTATTAGGAATTATGCAAAGACATCTTTGTGGTGAAGTAAATTCTGTTCACTTGGAAAATGCACATTTCAGGACTAACATGAGCTGTTTGACTATCTATCCCTTGGTAAGTGGCCTTGCAAAGTGTTGCCCCTAATTATTAGATTCTACAAAATCTATTTTTTAAATTGTTGTAATTTAGTGCCATTAAAATCTAGACCTTCCTTCTGAGCACAGCTCCCCAGATGTTTAAATGTGGGAAAGCTGTTAGTCTTTTCAGAGAATGGGCTGCCCTTCCTTATCAAACAGATTCTAAAACCAAACTTTTCCACTTGCAGAATTCCACTCCTACTCCAGGATAAACGATATAAAATTAATGCCATACCTCACATTGTTAATAGCAAAGGGATTCTACTGCTGCTACAGTCTTCAGAAGACATGTGTAATATCGAAATACTAAAGTCCTAAAAAACAGAGATAACACTGATCATTTAAATCAATCTGCTTATTTGAATACATCTACAGCCAATGTGGACCAAATTTAACCACTGAATTGCTTTTATTGGTAGGCCACTTGACCACAGATCTTAAAATCAAGCTTAGAGGGACAGCATCAGAAACCCCACTAAAACCAAGTGTAGAAAGAAAATTTGCTTAAGGTTGACAGTGGTCAAGTACCATCTATATCTTTTTGAAATTGAGCAGTATGCTACTTTATACACATAACAAAAACAGTGCACATAAAGCACATAAATTAACACCATCCAAAATCTAAAAAGCAAGCATCAGCAGGAAGTGTCTTATTTGATTTAAGAAACTGTAGGTATTCTGTGTTTACATTTATCCACATTTAGGTGTTTCCTCCCCGTCATTTTAGAGTGCTCATAATTTCCAGAAGAATGAGAGGAAGGTGTGTATTTGGGTACTTTCTGAAGATCTAGGTCCATGTACAGGACATTAATGTCATCTACTGGTTTCAGTTTAATAGGTGGCTGTTTTTTGGGGAAAAAGATATATCTGGGTTCTTGGGTGATTCCCAATATCAAGAATAAGTAAAGACCTACTCTAAGAAGAGTGAAGAAGGAGGGAAAAACAAAGTTTTTTCTTATTACATAGGGATATTTGTGGCAATTTCTAGAATTGTCTCCAAATGTGCAGTAAAGAACGACCTCATGATCTTTGTGAGGTCAAGAAAAAATAATGGGGATTAATACTCTGGAAAAGAATCATTGTTCTGGTATCTTTAATTGTAGAGGGAGTGTGAAAAACCCCTTTGCAAATAAAA